CCTGTTAAAACTGTGGAGGGCTCAAAATTATAACCCATGTTCATAGATAGTCTATCTAGAACTTTGGTTGTCATGTAAAACTTCATACCCCAATAATGATTAATTAATTGGTGACAATATAGAGCATTGAGTAGCAGTGTTAGTTTGAATTTTGATCTTTGTACACCGTTTGCATAACATTACAGAGGGTTGAGTTGCGTTTTCTGTGTGTACAACCTTTAAAGTTGATTCGTCTGTTTGTGTAATAGACACAATTAAGTCTGCTTTATTGTTAGTCTGAGTACATCTCTCAAAAGACAATGTTGAGCCCTGTGTAGCATTATCTTTTTTTCCTGGGTCTGGGAAACTACGTTTTGTTGTTCTGATACACATTTTACGTCTTCTGTCAATATAATTGTCCTGTTAAAACTGTGGAGGGCTCAAAATTATAACCCATGTTTATAGATAGTCTATCTACAACTTTGCCCGGGTCAGGTAAATCTTCATACCCCAATAATGATTAATTAATTGGTGACAATATAGAGCATTGAGTAGCAGTGTTAGTTTGAATTTTGATCTTTGTACACCGTTTGCATAACATTACAGAGGGTTGAGTTGCGTTTTCTGTGTGTACAACCTTTAAAGTTGATTCGTCTGTTTGTGTAATAGACACAATTAAGTCTGCTTTATTGTTAGTCTGAGTACATCTCTCAAAAGACAATGTTGAGCCCTGTGTAGCATTATCTTTTTTTCCTGGGTCTGGGAAACTACGTTTTGTTGTTCTGATACACATTTTACGTCTTCTGTCAATATAATGATCTGTGATTCACAATATACAGAAATGAATAATAATTTAATATTCTTTTATATGATTTAAATAAATCATTGTATCGCACTTATCGACGCATGTGATATTTTCCAAACATTTACCTTTTATATGTTACATGTATATAATAATAGTAATTTAACAATTAACTTACAAATAACACTAGTAATTTTACCTTATTATTAAACATTCATTAGAGGAATTTAAATTAGTTTGGGAAAAAATTCCAGAATATATAAAAAATGTGTAAGAAGTACAAAAACTTAATTATGACTTATCACATTAATAACTGAATATTCCTCCGGGCAAGTAGTACTAATAAAATTTCCTTTTTAGCAACCTGGTAAAATCCAAAAACTTGCGGCTAGATTTAGAGGCCCTTTTAAAATAATATCAAAATTGAATAATGTTAATTATATAATACAATTAACTCTAAATGAAAAGTTAACAAACGAAGTTGTTCATATCAGGTGAATTGAACCTTGTCCGCATTAGAGAAAAAAATTATCAAATTATATTAAATCCTCTTGCCGTCTTTCTACTACATATTTGACTCTTTGTATTCCTATCGTATTGTCCTGATCACATAATTTTTCTTTTTTTAATTCTTTAATTGTTATAGCTAAGAATATGTGATTATTAACTATCATAGCTTGTAATATAATTATTACTTTTCTCGCTAACTAATGCTAATTTTTTTTTTTATTTAACTAATTGTGTGATAGTGTGTATTTTATAGTAATTTTTAATATTTATAATTATTATGGAAAAATTAAAATATCTACTTATGATAAAAATATATATGTATAAAAAGAAAAAAAATGTATATGACCAATTATATCTATAACTTATTTTATTCTTTTATCATAATCCAATTTGTTTATTTTTAATATCTTTGTATTAATCTTAATTAGTCATTTTTTTGTATTGCATGTTTGTGTGTATGCATGTTAGTCTCTTATTTATAGTTAATAATTATAATAATTTTTAATAAAATATGTATAACCATAAAACCAAAATTTTTATGTAACTAAATACTTTTATTATTAACAATTTATCAGAACAAAATGTTAGCTTTATNTAAAACCAAAATTTTTATGTAACTAAATACTTTTATTATTAATAATTTATCAGAACAAAATGTTAGCTTTATACAATATTACATATACCTTTTATCACAACTTGATGGAACTTTTAGCACTTGCACATTTTATCATCAAACATTTTAAATTATAACTACACAATACTCATTAAAATAGTTAATATATTTACTACGTATTGTATTAATCTTAATTAAGGCTGTGGCCACACGAGCGCATAATGTACGGACGTTGATTTTTACCCCTGCGCATTTTGCTACAACGCACGTCGAAACATGTGTACGCACGTTGTAGAAAAGTATTGTTTTGAACTTGAACGGTCATATGGACGCACAATTATCCGTGCGTGATAAAAAACGTTAATCCATTACACCTGCGTCTTGTACCGCAAAAAATCTGAACGAAACGACATTTTTCAAAAAATAATTAATTTACGGCCGCAATATTTAACGGTTGTGTGAACTGATAAACACGTGCGTCAAAATGTACGCACATTATAAGCGCTTACGATGTACGCTCGTGTGGCCTCAGCCTAAAATAAAAGATAACTTATTTATACTAAAAAATCTTAATAAAATAACAAAACAAAAATCTTCGATCAACAAAAATATTAAAAACAATCAATCAACAACCAGAGTATAAGCATAGTAACTTGAATGTTTCGTACATTATTTTGTCTGCAATTAAAAATTTCTTATCAAAGAAATTCAAAATCCTGAAGACGACAATTAAGCAACAATAAATATGCCACAACTAATCAAAACATTTATTAACAAACTAATGTTGAAACATAGTTGTTATAAGAGATATTAAAACATTCATCTCATTAATTAACAAAAAAAACTTAACACAAATTTACTATATAAGAAGATTCTACTAGACTTAGTATGACACAAATATATGAATTTACGAACCAAACAGAATAATATTCAATTAGTCAAGCAGGACGATCAGAATATGAAAAGCTTTAATAATGTACGACAATGTTTGAGTGAAAATGTAAATACTCGAGAAAACCCAACACATAAAAAATGATGAAGACTTCGAACAAAAAAAAAATATGTCAATTTAAATTTAATTAATTTTGTTTGTTTTGTTGATATTATTTTTGAAAAAGAAATGAATTTTTGACCCTAAAAACATTTATTATAATGTCTCTTTTAAAGAGAATTTGTTTTTTATTTTGAATGTAATTATGTAAAAAATAAATGTTTAATTTAATTAATGTAACCATTTTTTTAATAATATATCTGTATTTAATTAATTGATTGAAACAATTTCTCTAGTAAATTAATAATAGAATAATAAATTTTTGTTCATTGGAAAATTAAAATTATATGTATTATTATTTTGAGTGTGAAATATACAAATAACATGTTCTCTATTTTGTATTATTGCATATGTCAGTTATAAAATGTTTACAGTTAATTATTATTATAATAAATATATTTTATGTTTTATTAACAAATGTTGATATGGTTTATTTATTAATCTAACAAATGAATTATGTAATTTAAATATATATTCTTTTTGTATTTTTTCCTATTTTATCTTTCAATATTTTTTCATATGTATTTAAAAATAATGTGTTATTTTGGGTTTTTTTAACTCAAATAAGCAATAAATTTTTTATAACATATATTTGAAAAAAATTGGTAAATTTATGCATAATATTTGTAATTATTATTATTAATAAAAATATCAATTAAAAAAAAATTTCTTTTGATCCTCTTTAATTAAGTTTTGTTATATTAAAGGATGATAATCATTGTTCATTGTATAAGTTATCTTTTAAATATATATTGAAAATATACAATTGAAATTTCTAATTGTATATTTTTCTTAAATATCTTATTGACAAATTATTTTTCGATGAAAATACTAATTTCTTATTATTAAATTAAAAATGTCGAGAAATTTGTTTATTTCTTAAATTGATGAACCGTGCATTCTACTGAAAATATAAAATTAAGTAAACCCAATGTAATATAATAAGACATTACATGTAACTGCACGATGTTCCATCACATCAGAATAGTAGTCGAATTATTAAGTAGTGAATTATCCAATGGTAAGATAGAGCTTATGGCACAGTGAAATGATCATAATATTCATCTGACCAGTTTCAAATATATGCAGATTTTTTATGGATTAATCTTAAAAATCGTATTTAAAATTAATAGATGCAATGAGCAACAAAAAAATAAACGCTAAATTAAAGCGCATGTGCTATAATTAAAATTATTTTAGTGAATCATTAGAAAAAAAAATTAGAAATAGTGTGTACATTATTTATAAAATATTAATCATCAAAACAAAAATCAATCTATGAAAAATAAAAAGAGTACAAAATGTCGCTTACAGAGCAATAAGATTCTATAGGTTTCTATTTCTAAATATTGCATGCTTAGTTACTTTAAAAGTAATAATATCAACATTCTAAATTAAACACTAAATTAATTACATAATGAATTATTTATGTAGAAAAGGAGGGGTGAATCCAGTAATATATGTCCGGTGTAGTATGTGGTATTATTCCTAACACGACAACCTCATAATATTATGTTTGTTAAAAAAAAATTAAACCATAGAAATTAAAAACTTAATGAAAAATGTAGCAAACATGACAATAGTACAATAGTTATTATAAATAATAATTTCTCCAATTTATTAATTTTTACTGAAAATTATAAAGAGTTAAAAAATTAAAACGTCAATTTGAATATATCTGACATAGAACTTTTAAATTTTCATGCCGCAAAATGATAAAGACGTTTTAAAATCATTTTGACAAACAACAATATACAATTAATGTAATTGACTAAAATATTTAATTTGAAAACACGCATGTTTTTCATCAAGAATCTACTTTTAAGAGGCTTACACACTAGGCGTTTAAACGCGAGCGTACTCGTTTTTAAAAACGCGGCGTTTTGAACGCAAACGCCGTTCATGTGCATACTACAAGCGTTTTGACGCGTTTTTACAAAGAAAATTAGCCCGCCAAAAGCTACAGTATAATCATAACAGATTTCTTGTGGTAGCATTTGCTCTGAATATTTTTTTATTTTTTAAAGTATAAAATTAGTTAAAATAAGTATGGATACATTAGATGATGTTGAAGTTGCATGCGTTGTATACGCCATGTATCTACGCCGTACAAAAAAACATAAAATAAATAAAAAAACAACTATTCGTAAACATTGGGTTCACCCCCTAAATTTAAAAAGACCTCGAGAATGTCAATTTCAAGTTAATTTTTTAACTTTGAGGAGTTATCCTGAAGAATTCTTCAGGTACTACCGTATGTCTATACACTCGTTTGATGAATTGGTAAGTTGAGTTATTTACTGTATTTTAAAATTATTAACTGTAACATAAAAAAAAACATTCATTAATTTGAACAAAGCAGGTTTATATTCAAGGGCGTCATTATGAGGGAGGATTACCTCATATAATAATAATTACCCTATGAAAATCCAATTTTTTGAGGGGGGAAATAAACAATTTTATTTGTACATTCCCTCAAGACTGAGTACTTAGTACATCACGTCAATACTGACATGTATTGGAAATGATATTTTCATTAAATCCATTCTTTTGTTTTAGGGTGTATTATTATTTTTAAGCTTATATTTTACAATATAAATATATATTTATTATTTTTCTATGGTATACGTTTATTAAAACACTTGTTAATAAGTATACCGCAAATACCCCCAAAAACACCACTACGTGTACAATTGTGTAATAATATAATTAAACTTTGTATGCTAGAAACATGTTTAATTCATTACTTTACAATCATTAAATTAAATCAATAACATAATTCAACATTAGTTTGTTCAATTTTTAAGTTTTTTAGTTATTATCTTACAAGTACAGAACAAAATATATTCAAAAATAGTTTTTGTTTGTTTCATAAAAAAAAACATTTTATTTTGAATTTTACTACTAGACCTAAATATATATATAATATATATTTATTGCCTTTTTATGGCAAATATATATATTATATATATTTGCCATAAAAAGGCCAATTAAGTATTTCCTGGATGATTATAAAACATTAAAACACACATTTATAAACTATAATTTGTTTATGGTAAATGGAGTATTTGTAAACAGCGCAAAAAGACTGACGAACATTAAACATAATTAACAAATTATATTTCTAGGACATTGAATTTTGTAAAAAAATTTAATTTTATATTTTTATTTTAAAGAAATTTACATTAAACCCAATTAATCAGGAAAAGTTTGTAAGACATTTCAAAAAACAAGTTAAAAAACTCAAAAATAATTTTACCGATATCATTTATGAAAGAAAAATTGTTTACTTAAATATTTATATTCAAATTTATGTTTGTTAATTTGGTTCAAAATGCCAGTCTTTTTTACAATAACCCCTATTCACAGTTATCCCACTGGACCATATAGCTGAATAAAGAATTTTAGGTAGATTCTAAGTTAAAACTTTAAGTTTTTTGAGTTTAACCAAAAATTAGATCTATAAACTTTAGTTTAGATCAATATAAAAAAATATGTGTTTCAAAAAAGATTTTAAATTATTTTGTTAAGTATTTTAAGTAATGTAATGGATAAAATAATTAAATAAAATCTCATATAATATTAAATTAAAAAAAAATATATGAATTATCTAAATTTAAAGATTCTATTAGTTGGATCAAAACTTCAAAAAGAGGATACTTGTTTAAGATTATCAATACCACCAGAAGAGCGACTTACAGTTACATTGAGGTAAAAAAAAAAAAGAAAATTGTAATGTAAATTTTATTTTAAAATATTCAAATTAATATCTAGTAAATGTGTTTGGTGTTTGTAAGTGAGAAGGAGTTGAGTTTAATGGTGTGTCGGATCTTGGATCTATAACAGGCGGTGAAGGGGGCATCATATTTATAATGGTTTTTTGAAAAGTTGATGGAATATCTTTTGAAGGGGGATAATTTTGGAAATTTGAATATTGAGTGTTCTGTGAGAAGGAAGATGAAGAGCTAGGGGATGAACTATGAGGAGTCGACATTTGAAAATTATTAGTATTGCTTAAACCATGTGGTTGTTGATAATAATAAGCAACTTGATGATTACCTAAATTAGCTCTTTGGATAGTTCTTAATATGTCAATATACAATTGAGATTTCTGGTCTTCGGGAATTTTTTTGATTTGTGGTAGTAAGGAAAGAAAAAATAGTTTACCAGGATCATTTTCCTCGGGTGTTCTGTTTTGTAATAAAGATACAAGGTGATTTTCCAAGTCTTTTGATTGATGTCCTTCTTCCAAGTTCTTCTTTTGACGTTTCACTGTTTTAGATATAACATTTGACTTTTGAACAGTTATACTATTTTTTGATTCAACATTGTCTTTTACAATGACGCCTTCTCCATCATCAGTCGAGTATTCTTCCATATTTATTTCATCATTATCACTTTCATTATATTCATTTTCTTGTGTAATATTACTTTCTGTTCTACAAATTGAATATAAAATCATATTACGTTAGTTATTTCAAATACTTTGAAGTAAAATTTATGAAAAATTTTGATAGCGATTTACAATATTACTCACTTATTTATTTAAAAGCAATAGCAAAAAAAAAAAATCTTACTCTCGATTTGTCATAGTAGGACGTAAGAATTCCAAAATATCCCTATATGCGTATTTAGTTTTGCTTGACTTTGCCTGACCTGATTTTGAAACACATTTTCTTATGAAACTATCTCTGAGGGATTTCCATTTAGTGTTTAGACCTTTTACTGCAATTAAATTAAAACAATTGGAATTACTTTTTGACATAATAGTCCAACTTGACACGGCCACGGCGTTGTCACACGTTGACACCCCGCGGTCCTATCAGGTCCTTCTCAGCCACCGCTTCACTGTAAACCGGACCGTTACACACACGCGTTATCGTCGCGGTGTAAAGTCCAACAAATGCCTCGCGTCGAATACCCCGCCGCAATAATACTTTGAGTCAGTCACCTCCGAGACACTTCCATGTCCGTTGTTTTTTCGGTTGTCGGTAGCATTTCTATTGTGTCTATTATTTTCGGGATTACAACGAATACGACCATATATATATAACGTGTGTTAACTATCCTAGCATTGTTTAACCATACAATTTTGTCTTTTTTTTCATACTTTCATTTTCATACGTTGTGTTTTGTTTGAGTAATCTGTTCAATAAATTACGGCTCACGCCAATTGATAATTAAAAAACCCTTGTGTCGCCTAAGTTTATTCAACATCAACCTCTATCATCTGGCTCCCCGGCATTGGATCTAAACCGGATTAACTTTTATAAAGGTAAGAAAATACTGCTGACATTTTACATTAATTACATAAATGTTGAATTTTATTTAAAAGAGACAGCGAAATTTTCCTTACCTTCCCGTACTACGGGTATTTTTAACTTCTATTTCACTGGTGACAGCAGTGAAATTCCCACCCGGTTGTATAAATACTATCTACCTCGCGAGTAGTAGATTTCCACCTTCGGTGTATTTTTAAACACGGCAAAAGTGGATTTCTGGCGATTTCGTATTTATACATACTGACGACCTTGAGTCGCACAACGCCGCGAACACAATCATTCGATAAAACCGCTAGGCAGGTAGGGTGATCATACACGTTATCATACCACAGCGATCGTTACATTTAATAACCGGGTCCCATAAAATCGTTTGTATTGTTATTTCCGATCTCCACAATCATTTTACGACTGCTATCGTAATAATCTCATTTCCCATTTACATTTGCTATAGCACACCACTATCAACAAAATATTGCAGTATTGTTACAATCACAATAATAACGATAATAATAATAATACAAACGGCCGTCATTGTCGACGTTCATACGCGAACACACGGCGCGTATTCTCGCGATCGGCGATATCGTATTTCTAAATAACAAAAACAAATAAGCGCGTGCGTTTCATTTATTTTTTTTTGTTAATTTTCGATAAATACGGTAAGGAACGTTCACTATGACCGGTAAAACTCTCTCTCAAATGAACCGTCGGGAATTATTGCGCGAATGCGCTTATAGGCAGTTAAACGGCCCCACGACAAAAAGCGATATGCTGGCAGTCTTGGAGAATAGTTTACGCAGTGAGGGGCTAGACCCATCGAACGCGATTCTGCCCGAACGCCCGCCGCTTCATTACGAGACGCTCGCGACGGAACGCGAGTCTCAGGTTGACGAAGTCCCCGCGTTATGCCGGACCGTCGACCCAACCACATACGCGGACCGACCGGTTAACCTGGCGCGAGAGGACCCTGAAGAGGAATCTCTACACGAATGGTCTCTGGCAACCGGCCGTCCTAACGGTAGTGTGAACGCAGCGTATACCGATGACTTATATACGGTGCGTTCAATATCCCACGCAACGGAGGAGATAGGCGCAGTAAGACAAAGTTTACGCGATATATCTCTTAATACACGTATGGATGCGCGCATGTCTGAAGTGGAGAGAGCACTGTCTCGCATTACGCAAGAAATACGATCTCTTTCACAAACGATTGTAAGCCGCGATACACACAACGAGACTATACGTAATCCGTTCGCCACCGCACAGATGACGCGAGAAACGACGGAAACCAACCGTTCTACTTACGCGCGTCTGTCCGAACCGAGCCGCGTAACTTTTGGGCCCAGCAACACGACTCAAAATGACGCGGCCCTACAGCAGCGCCTGACTAAAATCGAGGATCGCGAAGCGCTTAACCTACAGCGATTAGCCAGTCAGACTCCGCGCACGTCACCGTCGCTTCTTTGAGCGAACACGCACGACGCGGTTTTCAATTTAGAAGCGCGCCAACATCACACGGGGCACTTCGAGCCGAACACATTCGCGCCACCGACACGCGATTTGTCCCCTTCGTCATCGACCCGTTCGCACACGCACATGGCGATCGGGCCACTTAATTATTCGCCTATTGTACGACCCCCTTCCCCCGAGTTTACGGGAAAATATGAGTAGGACCCACGCGAGTTTCTAGAACAGGTAGAAAACCTATTGGCCCAAGCAGGCATAGATCGCGATTTATGGGTAAAAACGGGCGTACAATTTTTAAAGGGCATGGCATTAACTTGGTGGGAAACCATCAAGTTAAACAACATGTCCTGGCGACAATTTGCGAGGGAATTTCTCACGACGTTCGATANAATTTGCGAGGGAATTTCTCACGACTTTCGATACAAGCCGAATTAGAAAACGTACTCATGACGACGCAACAGGGGCACATCAGCGCATGACGGAATTTATCATAAATAAACAACGTCTAGAGAGCCCCAGTTGCTCTGAGCAGCACATTGTAGATCGGGTAGTCAGTCTGTTACGTAACGAATATTACGGTAACGTAAGAATGCGATGTCCGCGTACCTTAGATGACTTACGCGTAATCGCGAACGATCTAGACCGACCGATACGTACGGGCANGTCTCGACCGACCGATACGTTCGGGTAGGATTATCAATAACGCTAATCCGTACGTGGCTGCTATATTACCCTCGCAACAACCGCAAAGAACGCGACCTCGGCCAAGCGCACCGCCCGATCCGCGTCCCCCCCGACCCTGTCGCTTTTGCGGAGCCGATCACTGGCAAAGCGAATGTCCTAACAGACCGACAGTGCCGGGAAACGGACAACAGCCACGGAGAAACTAGTCCATTCTCCGGGCTCACAAACACAATTCCGCCCAAAACATTATCATATTAATCAGCGCGCCGACCAAACCGCCCGTTCAGTTAACTCGGCTAGCAAAAACGGATGCGCTTGCTGCGAACAAAATGACTCTATTTTAAATAATCTTATTATCAACCACGCTTCTATCACACCACCTTCACCAACACCCCTACGGCCCCACTGTCATTATAGTGGGCACGCTGTAGCACCACACCTCACCACCACCACACCCCTCATCCACAATGAGGACCATAAGATTATTCGAAATACTTGTCACGCGTTCGTAGACTTAATGGGTAACGACTATAGCGCGAGTCGGGCCAACGATATGTTGACCACCGTGGGGGAGGGGAATACGGCAGGAACGGCCTACCCGCTTATGGCAATTAATACTGCCGGCGAACAAACCGTTTCAACGCTCCCCGTTCGAACCGCTAACCACCTGAGTATTGCCGCACAAACACGCCCGCGTAAAATATCGATCGCTTATCGAACACAACATCGTTCTAAAAGACCCGACGCCTATCGCGCAAAAACCATATCCGTACCCGCTACACAAACAACAAGCGATAGACGAAATGGTAAGCGACATGGAATCACAAGGGCTCATAGAACCCAGCACTTCCCCTTGGTCAGCACCAGTCGTGCTGGCCAAGAAAAAAGACGGCTCATATCGCTTATGTGTCGACTATAGGCGACTTAACGATGTGACCGTATCAGACGCGTATCCCATGCCTAATCTAAACGAAATGATTAGAAGCATGAGGGGGGCGAAAGTTTTCACGTCACTCGATTTAAAATCGGGTTACTGGCAATGCTCTTTACAGCAAAACGTACGCGAATACACCGCGTTCAGAACGAAAAAGGGCTTATTTCAGTTTCGTGTACTTCCGTTCGGACTTAAGAATGCACCCATGACCTTCGTACGCTTAATGAACGAAGTACTTAGGGGGTACATCGACGACTTCGTTCAAGTCTATCTGGACGATATTTTAATTTTTTCGGACAGTGTCGAAACACATCTAGACCACCTTAGCAAGGTTCTAGAACGCCTAATGCGTCATGGCCTAACATGCCACACTAAAAAGTGTAAGATCGGGTATTCTGAAATTTCTTTTTTGGGACACCGGGTGCATGGGTTAGGCATAGACAAAG